TATATATATATATATATAGTATATTATATATATATATATTATATATATACGGCATCATTGATTTAATACATAATTTAATTCGTATCTTTTCGTAAAGAGAAAGTGTTTTCCCGTATACACGCCATGTATCATGATCAACCAGTATAAGCACTTCCAGCCTCGAGACGCCAACGACTACCGCTGTGAGTAGCAGCGACGCAATGCGAACATATTTTTCCGACATGAACATCAGTCGACGGTGTGCAGTGACAGTGAGAGGGATGATGTTGTGTTTCTGTGTATAACAGCGGCAGGGACATAGCAAGACGTGACACCGATATGCCGTGAATTAGGCGCATCAACGCTGTGGCATTGAACGAACGAATAGACATTGCTTATCGTGTATGTTAATAACATCACGCGACGAGTAGATATTTGTAGAATAGAAAAAGAAAGAAAGGGAGAGAGAGATAGAGAGAGGGGGGATAGAAAGAGAGAACGAGAGAATGAAAGAGGAAGAGGTGTGAGAAAGGGAGGCAGAAATAAGTAAAGAAGATGCCGAGAGAGAGGGAGAGATTAAACGTCTCAGAAAAGAAAAGATGGAAGAGAAGATGTGAAAAGAAAGGAAGCGCGAGGGCGATAACGGCCGAGAGAGAATGCGTGCCCGAAGAAAGGAAGAGAAGAGAGCGAGCGAGACGGAGACGGAGAGAGCACGGGAGAGCAAGAACAACGAGTAATCAAGTTAGAGAAAGAGCAGGTGAAAAAGAGAGAGAGAGGTGAGAGAGATAGATAGATATAATAGACACAGAGAGACAGAGAGCGAGAGAGCGAGAGAGAGTGTGTGAGAGCGAGGCGAGCGATTGAAAGAAGTGCAGAGCGAGCGACCGAGCGAAAGAGAGAGAGAATGAGAAATAAAGATGGAGAGAGAACCGAGAATAGCATGCATAAAGCACGAAAATCACATCCATCGGCGATCACGCCCACACGCCCACGTTTTTTCAACGATCAATTGTTCTCCAACGAGGCGTACGACGAGATTAGACATTGTGCACACGTATATGCACATAAAGGCGCTGTGTGTGTATCCGTGTTTTAATGATATGCCCATAGCGTGTCGATGTTGGATGGAAAGAATAAACATGGTCGAAATGGCTATAGACGGGTTCCGTCTGGTGACCGGTTGTCCTGCGGCACGAGCACGTACATCACGTTTGCACAAGGGCCGTGCATCACGTTGCACCGCCAATTCCAGTTCCATCGAAGATTGCGTCGTCTTATCTACCTTGTCGTAGACTTTGAGGGTGGATGTATGCACTTAGATGACCGATGTTTGCGAAGGCGGTACTTTATGTAGAAATCTTCACGCGTGGTAATTTTTTGCCAGCTGGCGAGTCTGGCCTCGGGTGCATCTAAACTACATCATAGATGAGCTGTCACGGGTAGCCCCGTTGTCCTGGTAACAATCCGAATCATATAGGTCATTCAATATGCAGCTGAAAATGCGCAGCGTTCTACTGAAACAAAAATCTCCTGGCAGACCGCGAGCGGCGATAGGAGAAAGAGAGGGAGAGAGCAAAGCAATCAAGCTAAGATTGTTTGATTAAATGCAGGCTAGTACCAACTTTCCATCGGACGTTCGGCGAATTCTTGATGGCGATTCGTGTAAGCTGTCAGTGACGATATAGTTGACCGCCATAGCATATATGATTTATAGAGATCGTTACAAGGTAGTGTTTGGATTACACGACTCACTGTATGTAGATGGTAGTTCAATATGGCTGGCAGGGGCGTAGCCAGATTTTCAAAGTTGTAGGCAGACTATCTGAGCGGAGCGCCACCATCGGTTGCGCGAGCGCACAGAAAATTTTTGGTTTACAAACCCTCCAGATGGCCGGAAACGGCCCTTCCCGAGTGTTCATTCGTTCTGGCCTCTTGCTAACTTGAGACCCCTCATTCAATATCACTTTAAACCCAAAAAACGACAAACGAGTTAAAATAAGTGTTACGAACGAGTTAAAATGTTAAAAAACTGACAGATCGGATCCTAGTCTGTTTTCGGCGGTAGAGTGTTGAATGAATCGGCACGCGATAAGAAATGACAGCCTAGATGACAGAAGAATAGGTACCTAATTTAGGCCATATTCTTGCTACGTTCATTTCAATAAGTTTTTCCTGCCTAGACCTTAAACACGTCCAGCAAGCTATGGTTTGAATTATGGGTGTTTAAAAAAAAAGATAACTTGGCCAAAAAAAGTGTAGGCCTCGGGCTACAGTGCTACATACACTGCACGCCCCTGGCTGTAAAAATGAATTTCTGTTTAAATTGATCATATATATATATATGCACGTCTGTAATATTTCTCATCTCACTAATTCAATATATATATATATCCTCATTATAGGAGTTCAAAATTCACATTTACGGCGCGCAGAGCACAAACTCATGGAAAACTGTTCCTATACGAGTCAGCAACTCAATCCCCAATATTATTATGTATGATACTAATTAGAATAAGTAACAGCAATAATTAACAAGATCAGTACTATTGTGCATTGTGCTATATGGAAATTATACTTTAATATTCTACTATAGTATAAGTCGCACTCGTTTCTGTTAATATGAAGAGAAGATGTACATTGAAGAATGCTCTCTACGATCTGACAATACCAACACGCTTAACGAGAGATTATGTATGGAGCGGAAAGCAATGGCGCTTTTAATGCGCGCGCACCACCTGTCACGGCTCTCACGCATAATATATAATGACTCTGT